TGGGGGACCTAAGGGGTTCCAGGGATCCATCCCAGGTTGGGTGTGTGCCAGGCAAGCGCCATACCCTCTGTACTATCTCTCCAGCCCTGAGCTCTTTAATTTACTTTTTTTATTTTTATTTTTACTTTAAATAACTTGTATCATTCTTAAATGTTTCTTCCAATTGTAAGTTGTCTTCTCATTTACTAAATATTCTCTTTTCCAGAGTATAAGTTTTTTTTTGTTTTGTTTTGGTTAGGTTTTTGGGCAAAACCCAGCAATGCTCAGGGTTACTCCTCATTCTTTGCTCAGGGGTCACTCCCAGGGATGACTGCAGGGACTTGAGTGGTTTAATGTGATATAAAAATCTGGTCAGCCATATGCAAGTCAAGGGCCTTAACTCCCATACTATCTCTTTGGCCCAAGAGCAGAATTTTTTTTTTTTTATAATTTTGCTCGAGCAGGCCCAGTAACGTCTCCATTGGAGACTTTGTTGTTACTGTGTTTGGCATATCGAATATGTCATGGGGAGCTTGCCAGGCTCTGCTGTGCGGGTGAGATACTCTCGGTAGCTTGCCGGGCTCTTCGAGAGGGGTGGAGGAATCGAACTTGGGTCGGCCATGTTGGCTGCGTACAAGGCAAACGCCCTACCGCTGTGCTATCGCTCCAGCCCTATACTTTTATTTATTGAATCACCGTGAGAGCAGTTACAAAGCTTTCGGGTCTAAGTCTCGGTCATACAATGAAACACCCATACCTTCACCAGTGCCCATTCTCCACTACCAAAAACCCCAGTATGCCCCCATCCCACACACTCCCCCTACCTGTGGGGCAGATGATTTCCACATTACTCTCTCTCTACTTTTATCACCTTCAATATTTTGACACCAAACCCACTATTATTATTTGAGATTTTACCCCAACACTCAGATCTGCTGAAAAGGCAACAGTAGACAATTTGTGTTCTATTTCTGGTTATGAATAACATGATGTCGCGTGGCTGCAGTAGGGCCACATGATTTTGAAATTCCGGAATTTTTTTGTTTTAAACACCATGAGGTACAGTTGTAGATTTACAATTTTTTGTGCTTGGGTTTAGATTATACAATGATCAAATACCCATCCCTCCACCAGTGCCCATTTTCCACCACCATGGATAATATCCCTCCCACCCCCATCCCTCCCATCCCACCCTGCCTCTCTGGCAGGGCGATCCCTTGTGTTCTCTCTCTCCTTTTGGGTGTTGTGGTCAAGAGCAGAATTTTTTAGTAAAATCTAGCTTATCAGTTATTTTTGTTTGATTTTTAGATTTTTGGGCCACAGCCATTGGTGTTCAGGGCTTCCTCCTGGCCCTGTGCTCCAAGACCACTCCAGGCCAGGGGCTCAGTGGAACACATGAAGTGCTAGAGATTGAACCTCTAAAGGCCGCATACAAAGCAAGTGTTCTACCTGTTATACTATCTCTCCAGCCCCTAAATTATTATTTTTTTGTATCTAGATGTGCCTTTGATAAACAAATCAACACATTATTTTATTTTAAAATTCTGTTATTTTCTCCATTTACTCAATGTTTCATTTCCTTTCTTGAGAATTTTTTACAGTCTAAATTGCCTTGTAATTCCCCCACTACCACCCAATGAAATTCCTAAATTTTTTTTTCTTTTTGGGTCACACATGGCGATGCACAGGGATTACTCCTGGCTCTGCGCTTAGGAATTACCCCTAGTGGTGCTCAGGGGACCATATGGGATGCTGGGAATTGAACCCCGGGTCGGCCGCGTGCAAGGCAAACGCCCTACCTGTTGTGCTATTGCTCCAGCCCCAAAATTCCTAATTTTTTTTAATGAAAAAAGTCTTTGATGTTGTATTTCAGAATTTCTCACCATACCTCAAGTCACCTAGATTTATCGTTGTGTTTTCTTCTAGTGGCTTGTTGGTTTTTTGTTTTACATTTAGGTCTCTGATTGCTTTTAATTGCTATAAAGTGTATAAGATTTGGGTACAGTGGCTGGGAAGATGGCTCAAAGAACTGGAGAACATGTTTTGCATGCAGGAGACTCAGCTCCATCCCTGGCAGCACATGGTTCCTTGAGCGGTGCTGACAGAATCCCCTGATTACCATGCCTGGAGTCATCCCTAAGTACTGCTGTGAAATCCCTGAACAAAACCAAACCTAAAAAAATTATGGTGGTGGGATTGGTGTTGAAATATTGAATGTAATAAATTATTGTGAACAACTTTATAAAAATAAAATAAAACTGGGGGGGGGGGGAATCCTAAAAGAAGCTGTAGGGCCAGAGAGATAGTACAGGGGAACTTGCCTTGTATACAGCCGGCTGAGATTCAATTGCTAGCATCCCTTATGATTCCCCAAGCACTTCAAGGAGTGATTCCTGAGTCCAAAGCCAAGAATGAACCCTGAACATCATAGGGTGTGGCTCCCTGCCAAACATACACACACACACACACACACACACCAAACAGACGAAACCTCTACATAGATCTTTTAAACTTTTTTTTTCTTTTTGGGTCACACTGGTAATGCACAGGGGTTATTCCTGGCTCTGCACTCAGGAATTACCCCTGGGAGTGCTCAGGGGATCATACGGGATGCTGGGAATTGAACCCAGATCAGGTGCATACACGGCAAATGCCCTACCTGCTGTGCTATCACTCCAGCCCCAAATCTTTTAAACATTTAAAAAAATTCTTTGTACTGCCGAAATTGGTCCTCCACATTCGAAGCATGCTTCTACCACCGAGTCACATTCCCTGCCCAGATTTTCTTTTTCTTTTCAGCCTGTGGATGTCCAATTTTTCCAGCATCACTTGTTGAAAAACTTAACTCCACCTTGAGTAATACTGCAAGTACTAGAAAGAGCTAGGATTTGAACCCAAGAACCTGATTCCAGAGTTCACATTCGCAGGAGTAGGAGAGATACAGGAGGCCAGGCACATGCCGTTCAGGAAGAACCTGCTTTGAATCCCTGACACCATGTATGTTCCCCAAGCACCACCAGGGGTCACTCCTAAGCACAGTCAGGATTAGTGCCTGAGCACCAGGTGTGGCTCAAAAAGTCTGCAACTGTACTTCATGATGTTTCACTATTAAAAATTTTTAAAATAAAAAACAGTTAAAAATAATAAAAATTCAAAAAGAGGAGGCGAACAATAGTACAACAGGAGGGGCATTTGCCTTGCTCACAGCCAACCTTCGTTCAATCCCCAAACACCGCCAGGAGTGATTCCTGAGTGCAGAGCCAGGAGTAACCCCTGAGCATCTTTGGGTATAGCCCCAAAAGATGGGGGCGGGGGAGATGGGGGGGACAGGAGTAGACAGAGTGCATGCTGTCAGTGTCTTTTGTTTGTTTTTAGAGCACACCAGATGGTGCTCAGGGCTTAACTTATTCCTGACTCTGCACTCAAGGATCACTCCTGGTGGGGCTCAGGGAACCATATGGGATGCGGGGATTGAACCCAGGTCGTCTGTGTGCTAGGCAAGTGCCCTGTCAGCTGTACTACCCCATGCTATCACTCTGTTCACACAGTTTCTGTGACAATAAATGTCTCCCCTATAGGTTTGGTGTGAGAAATGAAGATAGGCACATAGTAGGTGTTCAAGAAGGAATAGCGATTGTCATTGTTTCTTGTAGCCTGCAAGTTTCACTCAGATGTCTCCTCAGGGGCAGAGTCAGAAGTAAGCCCTAAGTATCTTCAGGTAGCTGTGCCCCGCCCCCCCCCAACCACCCCACACTCCAATCAAATATTTTCTCAGAGCAGCTCTGTTCAACTCCTTCTACCAAAGGCACCTATACCAATCATAGGCCTATTTCACCATGCAAGGGACACGAGCAAGCCCACTCCCCTGCCCCCCCCACCATGTATAGTCCCTGGAGAGAGACTCTCCTGAGTTCTCTGTGTCCCCCAGAGTTCCCGGGGCTGCACTGACCATGCAGCAAGCCCTCCAGAAGTTCATTGAGTTTGGTTTGTTTGCTGCTCCTTTATCCAAAGTACACTCTAGCTGTGGTCCATTCCTCAGGATTTCTCTGCTCTTAGCTCTCAGTTTAGACCTTCCCTGATCTGTCACCTGGGGAAGTGCCTGTTTGGTCCATCTCTTGCAGGCAGCTGCCTTAGTCTGCTATACACTCTTACCTCTCCATCTCACTTAGTTTCTTCCACATTCCGTGGTACCCCAAACCAGAAGAGACATGGTCTGAAGAAGTGACCATCTGTCCCTCATTCTCCCAGACGTAAGACGAAACACCTGTCTTAGATGCTTGGTTTCCAGATCCCTCTGGCCTCTCTCCGGAAAGCTAAGTTTTTTCCCCCCACCATGTAGAGTGGCCCACTTGATATTTGCAGAACCCGTCCAGGAACAAACCTCAGCCCCGAAAGTGCTGGGAAGGCTGTGCCCCTCTGTTTCACTCCTTCAGGAAGTAAATGCCACTTACGGCTAGCAGGGTGCCTTGGGTCCTGGCTGACACCCTCAGGTAGCCTTGGTCTCAAACCAAGCCCCCAGAAGCCTGTGGTCACTCTGGGGAGAACATCCTTCAGTGCCCCGCGGATGTGGCAGTCGGTTCCTCTCCACCCACCTGGCTCCACCTGGAGCCCTGAGTGTGCATTTCCAGAAGCACGGGGAAAGCGGTGGCCAGCACGACTCAGTTGCTTCCTCTGCTTAGCACTGCCTGGGGTGGGGGCACCTTCTCGGGCACAATCCGCAGAGTGAGTGCCCGCCGATGGTCAGAACCTGTCTTCCGCTTTCCCCGAGACCTTACCCGGGTGCTCGCCAAACTCAGTGCGCTTAGCGCATTGTGTAACACACAGTGCAGCAACGCAGCCTCCTGCTGTGCCCGCGGCAACCCGGACCTCGGGCCAGAGCCTTTCGGACTCGGCCCCTGAGGACTCGGGGGTTCCCAGTGCCCGCGCGGCCCGTCTGGAGGCGCGCCCAGGCGCTGCCAGGAAGGCGGGCGGGCGTTCATTCCCCGAGCCGCCAGCAGGGAGCTCCCTTTCGGCTCGGCTCGCGCGGCCGCGGGGGGCGGCGCTGCGCTGCGCCGCGCTGCGCTCCAGCCCCGACCGGGCCGGGGCCGCTGGATGCCGCGTCTCGGCGTCTGCTGCCTGGCGGGCGGGCTCCCGCGGCGGGTGAGTGCGGGGCGGCGGGGACGGCCGTTCGGTGGCGGGCCGGGCCCGGTGGGGCGGCGGGCCGGGCGCGGGCCGGGCGGGCGCGCGGGTGGCGGGGCCCGCCGGCTCCTCCTCCTCCCCGTCCCCTGGAAGCAGCGGCCCGGACTCCTGGCTCCGGTCCCCGGCGGTGCGCGGAGCTCGGCGCCCGGGAGTGGGGGCCGGCCGGGAGAGCCGAGGGGGCGCTCCCGTCTCTTTGCACCTCGGACGACGCGGGGAGACAGGACCGGGTGCCGGTGGCTTTCAGTTTAGTGGGGGGTTGGGGGGGCGCGGAGGAGGGAGACCAGGGGCTGGGGAGAGCCCAGGTGGCCCGGAGCTGCGGGATGGGGGTGCAGCCCCGGGGACCGGGGATGGTGGGGGGCTTCTGGGGCCAGGCCCAGGCTCCTAAAGAGAACGATCGAGCGAGGCGCTGAGAAGGCGGCGGGGAGGGCGAGCACCTCCACCGGCTCTTTATCCTCCCCGCGGCCTTCACCCACTCCTGGCCAGGCGGACAGCGGGCTCCTCTCGGAGGAGCAGCTGCTAGACAGCTGGGAAAACAATGGAGACCCCGCTTCCCCGCGCCCTCCCTCTGGACAGAAGATGGGGGGATGGGCGGCGTTGGGGACTGGAGCTTGCAGGTGCCCCCTGTGGCTGGCGGCTCACCTCACCTTGCCCTGCCCAGGGTGGGGTGTGTGTGGGAAGGTCGGACAGTCTGCCCCAGGCCTCTGCCAGGGACCGCCCTGACGCCCCGCCCTACCAACCTGTCATGCCAGTTGTTTCACCAATGGGAAGGAGAGGTGGGCCCGTCAGCTGCCTTCCACCCCTGTGTGGGGTAGGTTTGGGGTGCCAGCTACATGGTAAGTGGGTCCTATTCCTGACTGATAAGGCCTACGGGGCCACACCACGCATTGGGGCTTTGTTGTGTGTGTGATGGGGGCGAGGGTGTCACCCTGTTGCAAGGCACCTGTGTCCTGCTGATTAGTTTCAGAGCCGCAAGCTGGCTGGGGAGTGGGGTGAAGGTGGAGAGAGCAGCCAGGTTTTAGCGGAGTGGCCATTTGTCTGGTCACTGGGCATGTGTTTACCCGTGTGTTGCTGTTTGTGTGGGCCAGGGAGGATGCTTCCTGGAGGGACTCTGCACTTAGGGATTTCCTGCCATCAGTCTCCTGAAATTATGGAATGGGGGTCCCTGCCTCCTTCACATTTGGCAATGGCTTATGCTGGTTTGCAGAGACCAGTTTGTGTTTTGTGGTTTCTGGCATGTCTAGGGTGAGGAAACCTTGTAAGTACTCAGCCCTCAGTACCCTTCCTCCCATTGGAGAGTGAACTGAGTGTGCATGTGAGTGTGAGCATGAGTGTATGTATGTGAGAGTGTATGTAAGAGTGTCTTGTGTATGGGTTGGGAGTGAGTGTGAGTATGTGAATGTATGAGAATAAGAGTGTGTGTGTTTGAGAGAGAATGAGAGAGAGAAAGAAAGTGTGTGTGTGTGTGTGTGTGTGTAAGAGTCTGTGAATGTGTGAGTGTGAGAGGGTGTGTACAAGTGTACTGGCCTGTGCAGGGAAATCACCCAGATGACTAAGAGCACAATTACCTTAGCAATCATTGATAGGCTGAAGAGGTAGTTCAGCAGGTAGGGCACTTGCCTTACATGTGGTCAACCCAGGTTTGAATCCAGGTTCCCTGGGTGCTGTGAGGAGTGATCCCTGAGCGCTGCAGAGTTAGGAGTAAGCCTTAAGCATTGCCGGGTTTGGCCCAAACACCAAAAAAAAAAAAAAGGTAAGACTTTGAATCTGGAGGTGCAAGATCTATGTGCGGGGCGTGGAGCCCTTTTCTTGGGCACGTTGGAATCCTGTTGTCATGACAGTGGGCCCAGGCTTGCCTAATGTTCCCCACCCATTTTTTTCGGGGTGCTTTCTATTTGGGGATATTGAAAGTCACTCTCCTAAGCGCTCTGACTTCCTGGCTGACCTCACTGGCTCTTTTTCAATGGCCTGCCATCTCCTCAGCTTCCCCTCTGTCCTTTTGTGATGAGGACTTTCCAGGAAACGTCCTCCTGGACATGACTGGTTATATATAGCCTTGGGTGGAGGTGTACATGTCCATTTGGTCTTGGGCACACTGGGTTGGGGCCTCAATTACAGGAAGACCAATAGGGAAAGCTATTGTGTATGGGGAGGAGGCTAAGGGTGGAAGGTGCGGTGGAGAGGGGGCGTGGGAGGGATAGAATGCTGGTGGTCACTTCCTTTAGTAGCTTTGAACTTTGAACATTGGAGGACCTGGTCCCTGGCAGCCGAGGATCCATTTTGTTTACTCTCTGACATGGCTCAGGTGCCAGGATGTGTGCCTGAGAGCTTCCTCAGGGCCCTGGCTCTCCTCAGAACCCTCACTTGCATCGGGCCTGTCTTGACTCCAGCCCTCTTCAGAGGTCCCCGCTTGATGCTACTCTCTCAGGCAAGGATGTTTCAGTAAAGTTGGGCCTGAAAGCTCCAGGATCCCCCCAGAGGCAGGGATTTAAAGGTGGTGGGTGGAGTAGAAGTGGGGCTGGTCTGAAAGGGATAATGCCCCCTACTTGGGCTGTGAACTGGAGCGATAGCACAGCAGGTAGGGCATTTGTCTTGCATGAGGCCGACCAGAGTTCAATTCCTGTCCCTCTTGGAGAGCCTGGCAAGCTACGAGAGTATCCCGCCCGCATAGCAGAGCCTGGCAAGCTCCCCGTGGTGTATTCGATATGCCAAAAACAGTAACAACAAGTTTCACAATGGAGACGTTACTGGTGCCCGCTTGAGCAAATCAATGAACAGTAGGAGGAGGACAGTGCTACAGTGCTACTTGGGCTGTGAAGCAGTTAGTTGCTGGAACTCAGGAAACCTTGCCCTGGACTTGGGATATTCCCAACCTCCAAAGGAGCTGGGTGAGGTCCCACACCCGGAGTGGACACCATAGGAGGGACCAGAGTATCCAAGTGAGCGGAGTCCTGTTGTTGGCCATGGGCCAGCCCCAAGCCTTCTCCCAGGCCTCTCCTGGGTGTGGGGGAAAAAACTGAGAGGCTCCAGCCTGAGGTAGTTTGAAGGTCAGAGGGGGTGGGAAGGCCCAATACATAGTGGGGTTTTTTTTTGAGGTTTTTTTTTTGGTTTCGGTTTTGGGGCCACCATAGAGATCCTTAGGGCTTACTTCTGGCTATGCACTCAGGAATCACTCCTGCAATGCTTGAAGGGCACTATAGGGGATGCTGGGGATGGAACCCTGGTTTGCAGTATGCAAGGCAAGCGCCCTACCTACTGTACTATCACTCGGGCCGTCCCTCTAAATTTTTAGAGGGGATGGTGGTGATGGCGCCTTTAAGTTCTGCTTTGGGCCCAGCCCCTGGGGTGCCTTGAGATTTGCACTCTTCCCCATCACCACTTTCTGAGGTCCTTAGAGGTGGGATTGGGTAGTAGAGGAAAATTGGGAGGGGATAGGAGAACAAACCTGAACCCCCCCCCCCCCCCACACACACACACCTCCCCAATCCCCCTCCTCCCATTCTGTGGAAGTGGGAATTGTGCATAGTAAATCAGCTCCAATTCCTTGACATTTCCAGTCGTTTACACAGGCAGCTGTTTCAATTGTGGACTGACGATTTTACAGGGCCCAGGACTCTTTGCCTCTGCCAGGTACTTTATTGTCACTTACAGGGGATTATTTTTATGGTTCTCCAGTATCCAGAGATGCCGAGGGGCCCAAGGTCACGCGGCTCGGTGGAGCGGAATTGGAACCTGCCGCCTGAGCCTGAGCCTGAGCTGAATAGCTCTTTCCGCAAAGACCAGGGCCTCCGCCAAGTCGGGACTCCCCGGCCCCTGGAGATTTTATAGTTGAGGCCTCAGAGGGGAGGGACTTGCTCAAGGTCACAAAGAATGTGGGGGTGGCGCGGCGCGGTGCGGTGCGGAGAGTATTGGCGGAGTTGAGCGCCTTCGCCCCGCACCGGCCCACCGGGGGCAGAGTGCTGGCGCCTCTCCCGCTCTCCTTTCCCCTCGTGGCCCGCGGGATCACCGCGTTCCGGAGGAGCCGGCATCGCCGCGGGAGGTGCCGCGGGGCTGCGGCTGAGCCGGCCCTGCTGCCTGCCGGGGGCGAGGGCCGCCGGCTCCCCGCGCGCGGCCGGCGGGCCCCGGGAGCCGGCTGGGCCGGGCGGGCCGCCGAGGTCATGTGAGAAGCGCAGCCCGGGCGGGCGAGCGCACCTGGAGCCCGATAAGCCCCGAGCAGGCCGTGAGTCACGCGGCGCTGCGGAGCTCGGCGCTGCCGGCCGGGGAGAGGCGCGGCGGCGGCGGCGGGCAGCCCGCCCGCGGGGGCTGGGGACCCGCCGGGCCAGGTGCCGCGCAGCCCGCGCCCGCGTGCGCAGTCGGCGGGCGGCCGGCGAGCAGCTCCAGGCCCCCGGGCCGGAGGAAACGGCCGCCCCGGGAGGTCAGAGGCCGAGGGAGAGAGGCTGGCTCTCTGGGGAAAGTATTTCCTTTGTATTTATTTATGAGTGTGGTCTGCGGGTGGGGTGAGGGGGACGAGCCCTTTTAAGTACCCGTCCACAGCGGCCAAAGTCTGGGCGCCCTTGTCTTGGGATTCTAACGTTATAGTTTCCACTTCCTGGGGTTTCTGCTTTGCCAACGGCAGGGTGACCCACTTAAATCTGTCCCGCTTAAAGCCACAAGACACCAGTGAGATCTATTTTAGCCCAGTCCCTCAAGTCCCTGAAACATTTGAAAGACGTGAGGTGGCAAACTCTTTAATGTTAAAAAGAATTGCTTACTTATTTGGTTAAGCTTTGCTTCTCTTCCTTTTTTTTTTTTTTTGGTGCTGGAGGTGACTCTAGGGATCGCTCTACCCGCTTTTCTTTTCTTCACCCCCCCCCCTTTTTTTAAAGAGGGGGCCACACGCGTTGGTGCCCAGGGCTCTGGCTCCTTCTTGATGTGCAGCTAGACTGTTGACTTGTCTAGCTGGATCATACGATGTGGATCATACG